GCCAACACTAGGTACCCTGGAGGGGATGGACCGAAAACAAGGCCCAAGCCATTTGTCTCGTGCCATCCATCTCCAGCCTTCCACAAACACAGGCCAGGGACACCATTTCTACCCCCTGGCTAATAGCACTTCATGGACCCAACCTCCATGAATTTATCTAACTTCTCTTTAAACTCTGTTCTAGTTCTAGCCTTCACAGCCTCCTGCAGCAAGGAGTTCCACAGGTTGACTCTTTGCTTTGTGAAGAACAACTTTCTGTTACTAGTTTGAAGCCTGCTACCCATTCCTTTCCTTTGGTGTCCTCTAGTCCTTCTATTATGGGAACTAATGAAGAACTTTTCTTTATGCACCCTCTCCACCCCACTCATGCTTTTATAGACCTCTATCATATCCCCCCTCAGTCTCCTCTTTTCTAAGCTGAAAAGTCCCAGTCTCTTTAGCCTCTCTTCATATGGGACCTGTTCCAAACCCCTGATCATTTTAGTTGCCCTCCCCTCTCCCACCCTCTCTCTTCCCCTCTCCCACCTCCTTTTCCCAGTCTCCCCGAGTTTTGTTCAATAAAGAGAGTTTCTATTTTTGAACACACATGTCCTTTATTTTGTACATCAGGAAGGGGGGCTAGGGATGGGTAAGTGGAAGGAGGTGAGGGAGGAATGGGGTACGAGCCCCCGATGGGGAGGACTGGGCTGGCTCTGTGGGCTCCTCAGGGTGGAAGCTCTCCTGCAGCCCCCCCAACTGACTCCTCCCCTGGATGGCAGCCTGCGGCAAGTGCAGCTGGGCTGATGGCCGAGTGCTGTGATGTGCTGAGTGTGGGCACTCAGGGCACTCCAAACCAGGACTGCTTTGCAAGCGGGGCACCCCTGAGAATTGTCTGTCCAGGGTGGGGGTCGGGTCCCTTTAAGCACAGCCCTCGGCTAGCCTGAGACAGCAGCTCCATGCTCTAAGTCCTACTCTGATGCTCTGCCGGCACTGCTTCCGGTCATCCTTAACCCCAGTTCAGGGTCCACTCTGTGTGGACATGCTAGTTCGAATTAGCAAAATGCTAATTCGAACTAGATTTTTAGTCTGAATGTGTTAGTTCGAATTACCTTAGTTTGAATTAACTAATTCAAATTAAGTTAGTTCGAATTAGTGCTGTAGTGTAGACATACCCCTAGTCTTTAAGGTGCCACAGGACTCACCATATATTGAGAAATAGAACATGTACTCACCTCAACGTGGATCTCACCTCCATGCTTGAATATTTCTGCAGAAATGCCATCTAATCCAGAAGCCCTGCAGTTCTTTCTGGTACCTATTGCAGGGCTGATTTCAATAAGGGAGAGAGCTGCATTCATGTTGTCATTCTATTGACATATGCAACTCAGGAGCATTTCCCTGGAAACCTAACCCTCTGAATTTTCAGTCCGTGGCATTTAGAGACATTCTCTAAAGTGAAGTCACTGAGATTTAAATGTCTCAATTATTTCCAGCAGCAGAGCATCAAATTAAAAAGTGATTAGACATTTATCAAAGAGAATAGTTTTGAATCATTAGATTAGGCATAAAATTGACATGAGCTCAAAACTGCTACAAAACATTTCCATGCTGGTATTTTTCAGAGTGATTTTTGGCTTTGGGAGTTAAATAATTTTTATTGGGTTGTACAAGCCACATGTCTAACACTGACGTATCCTACTGCTCCATCCCTTTTAAGGTCACACTATCCATTCTACTACTATCTTGAGAGCATGTTAAACGATACTGCCCCACGGTTTAAAAAGAGCTGGCTGAGAAATGTGCGGGGCTGTTAGTGTTGAGTTTCAATAAGTCTTGGAACACTGACAAAGAGCCAGAAGGCTAGAAGAAAAATAAAGGTAGTCAAAAAGTGTAAACTGGATGACCTGGGTAATTACTGCCCTTTTACAGATTGAACCTCTGTAGTCTGGCACTATCTGCTCCAGAAACATCCAGGGTACACATGATTTTAGTTAGCCGAATGTCCTCTTAAGGGTGTGACCAAGTTCCCTGGAGTCCCATAAAGTTTGTTTACAGCCACCAGTCCTGGTTTTCAGTGTTCTGTGCTGTTTAGCTCTAACTTACCTCTAAATGTCTTCTAAGAGCCCAGTAAGGAGCAGAAGTGTTGGTAATATAGTTAGACACTTAA